AACCCGGTAGCACCCCAGCTGCTCTGCCCGCCCTTCCCCAAGTCCACCACAGGTCAGTTTCTGCAGCGGCGGACTTGGGGAAGCCATGGGGCAGAGCATCTGGGGTGCTGCTGGGTTGGTCCCACAGCACTGCCCTTCACCAGCACCTGGTTTGCCCCATGCCGCGCTGATCCCCGCCCGACCCGTCACAGCCCCCCTGCTGGAGTACCTCCTGATACTCCGGCATATCCGATAAGCCAGCACCCCCTGGGTCCCAAAGGTGCCAGATTAGGACTTGGGGAAGCCATGGGGCAGAGCATCTGGGGTGCTGCTGGGTTGGTCCCACAGCACTGCCCTTCACCAGCACCTGGTTTGCCCCATGCCGCGCTGATCCCCGCCCGACCCGTCACAGCCCCCCTGCTGGAGTACCTCCTGATACTCCGGCATATCCGATAAGCCAGCACCCCCTGGGTCCCAAAGGTGCCAGATTATTGGAAGTCTGCTGTACCACTATTAACATCCATTACTTCTACTATTTGTCTTGTGTCTATATAGATCATCAATGTTGACAATACTACCTAACCTAATAGCCCTCTCCTCCCTGCCATAGTTCTTCCTTGCCAAAATTTGACAATTGTCCAACATCTCTCACAGAATTTAGAATCACAAAAACCAGGAAGAAAAGAGATTTTGCCTTGCTCAAATCTCTAACTCCCTAGGCATCACTGAAAATTCCAGCCTAGATCATGTAATACATCCTTCTGAAAATGCAAGATCTAACCTAACAAGAAAGGGCATATCACATATTATAACAGTTCCATATTGTCCTTAGCCAAAAGGCCTGCAAGCTTATAATGCAAAGTTTTGTTTCCTTCTGTCACTTATTCTCCACAAAGAGCAAATAAAGCCCAATATAAAAATTGACTGCTAAGTGCTGGGAGATATAAATGCACTGCTTGAGAATACAGATCCCAATTAGTTTATTGACTTATCTCCTTCCCTGTTAACCTAACATTATATCTCTGAAATAACCTGAAATAGCTCTCTTATGAAGAGAGATTAAAGTCTTGGACTTTTCAATTTAGAAAATAGGAGACTAAGGGGGGATATGTTAGAGGTCTATAAAATCACGACTGGTATGGAAAAAGTGAATAAGGAAAAGTTATTTACTTATTCCTATAATATAAGAACTAGGGGTCACCAAATTTAATTAATACGCAGCTGGTTTAAAACAAACAAAAGGAAGTTTTTCTTCACTCAGCGCACATTCAACCTGTGGAACTCCTTGCCAGAGGATGCAGTGAGGGCTAGAACTTTAACAGCTCAAAAAAGAGCTAGATAGATTCATGGAGATTAGGTCCATCAATGGTTATTAGCCGAGATGGCTAGGAATGGTGTCCCTACCCTTTGTTTCTCTGGAAGTGGAAGACAGGGGAGGGATCACATGAGAATTACCTGTTGTGATCCCTCCCTCTGGGGCATCTGGTATTGGCCACTGTTGGCAGACAGGTTACTGGGCTAGATGGACCTTTGGTCTGACCCAGGATGGCTGTTCTTATGTTCTTATTGTAAATGGGTCCTAGTGTAACTACTTAGTTATTAAAATTATGTGTGCTCTGTACTTTTCTACTGTTGGAGTTTCTTGGCAATAAAGATTGTTTTCAGACATTTTAATGTGTGTGTTTTAATGTGTGAATTTGTTGCGTCTGTTGAGTGCTGTGTTACATTGTGACGGGTCACACAGATCCCTCTCTTAGGGTATGTCTACACTACAAAGTTAATTCGAACTAACAGCCATTAGTTCGAATTAACTTTAATAGGCGCTACACATGCAAACCGCTAGTTCGAACTTAATTTGAACTAGCGGAGCGCTTAATTCGAACTAGGTAAACCTCATTCTACGAGGACTAATGCCTAGTTCGAATTAAGTAGTTCGAATTAGTGCTGTAGTGTAGACATACCCTAAGACTGAAGGGGTAATGAGGCAGTATTGTGAGTATTGTAAAGTGAGTGCCATAAACTTCAATGTTGGAGTTAGTGCTGGATGAAGGAACCTAAGGAGGAGGAAGAGAGGTAACTTCCATCATCAATAAATCAGCCAGAACCATTAGTGCTTGATTGTTGGTGCCTGCTCCAATATCCACATTGCCATTGACAAATCTGTACTGGATGCAGAGACCAGAATACAGGGCTTTTCAGTGCTGAGCCAGAAGTTGAACCAATGGCAAGTACCTCTGTAGTAAGAGAGCACTTTGTGCTCAGTTCTTTGAAGGAAAATTAAGGTGAATAGCTTTTCATAAGCTTCTTAACTTTCCCTTTTTTAGGGGAGGAAGATTGGTGCCAGTAAACAAATATGATCTAATGCACTGATCTACTTTGTCATTTCATGCTGAGCTGTCTTTGGTGGCTGCTTCACGGCCTGTAGGTGCCAGATCAGACTTCTTATTGGGACTGGTTTGGGGAGTTACTTCTCAGCAGCTGAGGATGCTGATAGATTGGGATTTAGAGGTAGAAGTTCTCTTCTCAGAGATTGATACCTGTTCTTCTGAGTGTTAAATATCTCCTTTAGGGTTGCTCCAGATGATGTTAGCCAGAGCTCTCCAGATTTTCCTCATTTTAAGGAAAACAAATGGCAGATGGGGCAAGAGTCAGGCACATGGCTCTCACTGAGATGAATAAACAGTGGCTATAGTCATCTGTAAGCAGGATGAGGCTGTCACAAAGCAGACCGGAGGGAGCCCAAATGCTTTAAATCTATCATTTAAGTGCTTTTGGTGCCAAGTGCTAAAAGAGAAGAAAAGTAAGGGGAGGTGGGGTTTTTGTTTGTTTTTGTTTTTGGTTAAAAGGGGGAAAAAGTAAGGGGAAGGGGAATCTCGCAATTTACCCAACTAGATAAAACTAGTTTTAGAGAATGTGTTAAGGGTAGTAAGCAGACATAGCCTGGTTCTGTCTTGCTGATGCGTGGTTTAGCCCAAGGGTGGGCAATAATCTTTGCAGGGGGGCCTCTGAATGAATTTTGGTCATGGTCTGGCTCAACCCCAGAAGGGGCAGAGCCTGGGTTGGAAGGGGCAGGGCTGGGGACTAGACACCCCCAGAGTTGTCTGCTAAAAACAAAAGGCAGCCCTTTGTTGGCTAGCAGCCCTCCAGGTTTGCTGTGGCTATTTAAAGGGCTCACGGCTCTGGCCCCTACCAGGGTAGCACTGTGACTGGGAGCCATAAGCCATTTAAATAGGATCCTGCTGCCTGAGCCGAGAAATTCAGTGGCATGGGCAGCAGGCTATAAATAGAAAGTGGCCAGATGCAGTCCGCAGGACAGATCAAAGTGTTAGGCAGGCCAGATCCAGCCCCCAGGCCGCATCTTGCCCAGCCCTGGTTAAAGCTGTCGGCTGGGGAGGGGAGACATGCAGAACATGGGTCTGATAGACACAGCTATTCAAAGATTTCAATCTCATGCGCACAGTGTGCATGCATGCGCACGCTGGGAGCCACACAGCTGAATACTTGAAGAATGGATTTGTATTTAAGCATGTAACAAAAAAAACAGACATGCTACTGTACAAGAAATATGGTCTATGTCAGCGTTTCCCAAACTATGGGCCGCAGCCCGATACCGGGCCGCAGGAAAAAATACCAGGCCTCAGCGTGGCTGCTGGGAGGGGAGCAGAGCCAGGCGGGCTGGGAGGAGGTGGCTGGGAACCGGCTGCCCGGAAGCAGGGTTAAGGGCGGCGGGGCTGTCCCGCAGAGATCAGGACAGGTGGGCGGCGAAAGCAGGGTGGGGGGCAGCAGAGCTGTCCCGCGGA